TGTATGTATCTATTTATATGTATATATATATTAATATATATTTCTATTTAGTCCAACGTACGAAATAATTTTGCGAAAACAAACAAATACAAACGGAATTTCTTCCTCTTAAAATATACGCTGACAACTAACTCGTTAAAAAGTAACAATTATAAATAGATTAATAATAATTGTTTTCTCTACAAAAAAAAAAAAAAAGTAAAAACAGGGAAACACGAGTAAAAAAAAATTATTGATTCTCTTGCATAAAAAAAAATGAAATGATAATGATGATGATGGTAATAATAATAATAATAACAATAAAAATAGTAAAAATAACAATAATAATAATAATAATAATAATAATAATAATAATAATAATAATAATAATAACAATGGCAATAATCATAACACTAATAGTAAAAAAAAATAATAATAAAAAAAATAATAATAATAATAATAATAACAAAAATAATAATAACAAAAACAATGATAATACGTAGGAACAATAAACAACAAAAACAGCAAAAAAAAACATCATTGATAACGATAATTTACGAAACAATTAATAAAAAAAGGGGGGGTGGGGGGAGGGGAAGATATTTACTAAATAAAACAATTAATTAATTAATTTAAAAAATAATAATAGGGGATAAAACGGAAAGAAACGCAAAATAAACGCAAAAAAAAAAAATAATAATAATAATGATAATATATATATATATATATATATAAAACCTGGAAAGCAAGACATGCAAATTAATAATAATAATAAAAATAATAATAAAAATAATAATAAAAATAATATATAATAATAATGAATAATAATAATAATAAAGAAAGGGGGGGTGGGGGGGAAAAAACGCAAAAAAAACGCATAATAAACTTTAAAAAAATAATAATAATAATATATATATGTATATATAAAACCTGGAAAGGAAACCATGCAAATTAAGCCAAACATTGGACGAGGAGAGAGAGAAAACCGATAATAAAAACAGGAACAGATGAAAACAGGCGATAAATAAACAGAAATGGGAGAAAAATAAATTAAAATGATGATGATATTATTATAAAAAGAGAAACACACATGCTTTTTTTTTTTTTTTTAATGATAAAAATTATTAAGAAAAGATGTAAATTAATTGTTTTCTTTTTTCTCTCTTTTTTTTTTTAATATTATTAATTCAATAAAAAGCAAAATATTATTATTATTATGCTAATTAGAAACAAACACAGTGTTAAATGAAGGTTATGAGAAAATAATAAAAATATTAATAATAATAATAATAATAATAATAATAATAATAATAATAATAATAATAATAATAATAATAAATTACAGTAATAATGATCCTAATGATAAAAATCATTATTATTATTACTATTATCATTACTATCACAAAAAAAATACATAATTGAATAATAAATTTAAAAAAATAAAAATAAAATTGAATAAAACACATAAAAAAATATATATATATTATATATATTTTTTTTTTTTCTTTTCTTTTTTCCTTCTTTTCTTTCCTTTTTTTCTTAACCTTCATTTTACATCATTTTATCTTAAACTAAAAGACAAACATCTGTTGTAATGGATATTAATCACACTCGGGAAATAACAGAGAGAGAGAGAGAGAGAGAGAGAGAGAGAGAGAGAGAGAGAGAGAGAGAGAGAGAGAGAGAGAGAGAGAGAGAGAGAGAGAGAGAGGAAGAGAGGAAGAGGGAGAGGGAGAGGAAGAGGGAGAGGGAGAGAGAGAGAGAGCAGGAGGGAGGGAGGGTGGGAGAGAGAGACAGAGAGAGAGAGAGAGAGAGAGAGAGAGAGAGAGAGAGAGAGAGAGAGAGAGAAGAGAGAATGAGAGAAAGGGAGAGAGAGAGAGAGAGAGAGAGAGAGAAACAGACAGAGAGACAGGAGAGAAAGGGAGAGAGAGAGAGAGAGAGAGAAAAGAAAGAGAGAGAGACAGAGAAGAAAGAGAAAGAGAGAGAGATGATAAAGCAGAAGAAGCAAAAGATGTTAAAACACACTTCACACACCCTAGAAAATGACACTAACCCCCCCCCTCCCCCTCTTCCTCCTCCCTCCCTTCCTCCTATCCTCCCACTCCCCCCCCTCCCCCTCCTTCCTCTTCTCCCTCTCCCCCCCCCCTTCCTTCCTATTTTTCCTCTTCCTCCCTTCCTCCTTCCTCTTCTTCCTCCTTCTTCTCCTTCCTTCCTATTCTCCCTCTTTATCCCTTTCTTCATCTTTCTCTTTCCTTTTTGCATCTCCTTCCGTTTCCTCCTCTTTTTCTCTTCTTCTTCTCCTCTATCATCCTCTTTGTTTTTCTATCTCTCCTTCCTTCCTATCTCCTCCTCCTCCTCCTCCTCCTCCTCCTCCTCCTCTTCCTTCTTCTCTTTCTCTTCCTCCTATTCCTTCTTCTCTTTCTCCTCCTCCTCCTCCTCCTCCTCCTCCTCCTCCTCTTCCTTCTTCTCTTTCTCTTCCTCCTATTCCTTCTCCTCTTCCTCCTCTTCCTCCTTCTTCCTCTCCTCCTCCTCCCTTTCCCATTCCCTTTTTCTCCCTATTTCCCCTTTCCCTTCTCCTCGTCCTCCCTATTCTCTCTCCCTCCCACCTCCTCCTCCTCCTATTCTTCTCTTTCCCCACTTCCTTCCTCCTCCTTCATTCTCCTTTCTCCTTTCACTTCCTATCCCCCATTCTCCTCTACCTCTTCCTCTTCCTCCTCCTCCTCCTCATTCTTTCCTTCCTCATTCGTTTTTCTCTCTCTCCACCTCCTCCTCCTCCATCTTTCTCTCTCCCTCTCCACCTCCTCCTCCTCCATCTTTCTCTCTCCCTCTCCACCTCCTCCTCCTCCATCTTTCTCTCTCCCTCTCCACCTCCTCCTCCTCCATCTTTCTCTCTCCCTCTCCACCTCCTCCTCCTCCATCTTTCTCTCTCTCTCTCCACCTCCTCCTCCTCCATCTTTCTCTCTCTCTCTCCACCTCCTCCTCCTCCATCTTTCTCTCTCTCTCTCCACCTCCTCCTCCTCCATCTTTCTCTCTCTCTCTCCACCTCCTCCTCCTCCATCTTTCTCTCTCCCTCTCCACCTCCTCCTCCTCCATCTTTCTCTCTCTCTCTCCACCTCCTCCTCCTCCATCTTTCTCTCTCTCTCTCCACCTCCTCCTCCTCCATCTTTCTCTCTCCCTCTCCACCTCCTCCTCCTCCATCTTTCTCTCTCCCTCTCCACCTCCTCCTCCTCCATCTTTCTCTCTCCCTCTCCACCTCCTCCTCCTCCATCTTTCTCTCTCCCTCTCCACCTCCTCCTCCTCTTCCTCCTCCTCCCTCATTCTTCTCCCTCCCACCTCCTTCCTTCCCCCTCCTATCCTCCCTCTTCCTCTTCCTTCATTCTTCTCCCTTACCCCCCCCCCACACCCACACCCTACAAACACTAAAAAAAAAAAAAAACACTAACGACTCACACACAAAAAACGCACATATAAAACACACACACAACCCAACCCCCTCCAACCCAACCCGCGCGCACACACACACTCACATCAATGGCGAGCCTGGGCTTTTCTGATGGTGGGACAGGGGGGGGGGAGTCAACAGCATGGACGCACACACACACACACACACAAAACGCACACCCACCAACCCAACCCAACCCCCTCCAACCCAACCCGCGCACACAAAACGCACACCAACCCAACCCAACCCAAAGTACACACAAAACGCACACACCCAACCCAACCCAACCCACACGCGCACACACACTCACATCGATGGCGAGCCCGGGCTTTTCTGGTGGTGGGACGGGGGGGAGTCGACGGCCATGGACAGGGGTCTGGGGGCAGCAACCCTCTTCGTCTTATAGGTGCCTTTGGCGCATTCCTTGCTCAGTTTCTCCACAATGGCGTCGAGCTCCTTGGCCACCTGCGGAAAGGGAGGTAGTGAGAATGCTGATGAAAAAGGGGATAGAGGGAGGGAGAGAGAGAGAGGGAATAGGGGGAAGGAGGGAGGGAAATAGGGGGAGGGAGTGGGGGGGGGAGGGAGAGAGAGAGAGAGAGAGAGAGAGAGAGAGAGAGAGAGAGAGAGAGAGAGAGAGAGAGAGAGAGAGAGAGAGAGAGAGGGAGGGAGGGAGTGGGGGAGGAAAGGAAGGTAGTGAGAATGCTGATGAAAAAGGGGATAGGGGGAGAGGGAGAGAGGGAAAGGGAGGGGGGAGGAGGGAGGGAGTGAGGAATGGGAGGGGGGAGGGAGGGAAATAGGGGGAGGGAGTGGGGAGGAGGGGAGGAGAGAGAGGGAGAGGAAAGGAAGGTAGTGAGAATGGTGATGAAAAAGGGGGGAGAGAGAAAGGAGGGAGAGGGAATAGGGAGAAAAGAAGGGAAATAGGGATGAGGAAGGGTATGATGGAGAGGAACAGGGAGCGGGAGAGGAGAGAAGGAGAGGTATGAGTGGGAGTAGAGCGAGAGAAGAGAGAGGAGGAGAATAAGGAGAGCGAGGGAATGTAGAGAGAGAGAGAAAGGTAATTAGAGAAGAGAGAGAGAGAGTAGTAGAGAGAGCAGAGAGACGACACAGAGAGAGAGAAAGAGACACAGAGAGAGAAAGAGACACAGAGAAAGAAAGAGACACTGAGGGAGAAAGAGACACAGAGAGAAGAGAGAGAGAGAAGAGAGAGAAAGAGAAAGAGAAAGAGAGGAAGAGAAAGAGAAAAGAGACAGAGACAGAGACAGAAAGAAAGACAAAGAGACAGAACAAAATAAAACAAAAAAAAAGACCCCAATGAAAAAAAACAAAGACAAAGAAAAACGACAAATAAAACCAAAAGAAAAAGAAAAAAACAACACAAAAAAAAAACAAAAACAAAACGCAAGAGGAAACATTACAACATTACTCCTCGGTACGCGACTCTACAAAGACGAAACACAGGGCTTGATATATGTCAATAAAGGTCTTAATAATCTTTAATTAAATATAAATAATAATAAATAAATGTAAAATGAAATGGCTTTATATATTTCAATGAAAGAGATCCTTTAAAGGAAGACAA